GGATGTAGCAGGCCTTAGGCAAAGGTAGAGTTTGTGAGTTGCTTTTCTACAGCACTATGAAGTAGCTCCCTCGCAACAATATTGGTCAATTTGTAAAATAAAGGCTAGGGGCCGAGTCACAGGCCGATCTCTCCATCCCCACTAGCTCTGTGTGTGTGTGTGTGTGTGTGTGTGTGTGTGTGTTTCACTTCTTACTAAAGTGATTTAATTCCTCAGGAGGGTGGATCATTCATGCTAGGGAATGAAAATGAAAATCATTTTAGGAATTCCCTTTGCCATTTGGAGAGGTCCTAAACCCCCTTCCCAGTTAAACATCTGATCTACACGCTAAAGGCTCTTTCTCCCTGGGGACGTGGTTTCATGATGTGGCAGTGCAGGAGTGATGGGAGTAAATGTTATGTTTAGATTTGAAGTTTCCACGTCTCCAAAAGAATCACTTGGCTTTGGACTGAGAAGCGGGAAGCACGTATCACCTGCTGGCCAGACACGGACTGTGCGGGTCGGCTCCATGGAAAACAGAAGTGAGTGAAGGGAATCTTGCCTCTGCCTGTGCCTCCGGGAGTACTTCACTTGTAATCTGGATTTGCAAGAGGACGAAAACAATGTATCTGTGTAACTACACCTGTTATCCGTTCAGTCACCGACCTCTGCCAATGCCCACAATGTTCTCCATTTGGGGGCTGGGCTTTCCCCTCCCATTCACTGGGTGCTAAAAAGAGCCTTTTCACTCCAGACTCCTGTTCCAGACCTCTGCTCTTTGGTCAGAGTTCAGGGGCTCTTTCTCCCCTAGAAGTGGATGTGAAATGCTGGCCTCAGCTTAGATATCTCCACTGCCAATAGCAGGAGAGTTCAGTAAAAGCCACCTTTCCTTACCAAAGAATGTCCAGAGTGAAAATGTAAAACTGAAAGGGAGTGTGAGAAATGGCACAAACAAATGTAGCTTCTCTCTCTGGGAAGGGCCGCCTCTCAGGCCCTAAATTATTGCCAGTGTCTGGGCTGGGCAGGAGAGACAACAAACTGATAGAACATTGCAAATGCTCTTTCCTCCAGCCAGCAGCCTGTGTGTCACCTGTGTCCAAGGTCGGACTGTGGGGTAGTTAGGGGGAATGTGGAGCCTTGTGGTGATGCTAAGAGGATAATTATGGGAAGGGCATTGCTTTACCCTGGACAAGTTCAGTCTTGTAGATAAAGCTACAACAAGATCCTAGAGGCTGATGTGAGATCTATTCAAATTGGAAAGAAGGTGTACATTTTTAACGGGGAGGTCGCTAATCACTGGAACAAATTAACACAATCAAGGTGGATTCTCACAGTGCTAAAAACAAGATTTGATGTAACCCCCCTCCAAAAATCTTCTCTAATTCAAAAGGAATTATTCTGGGGGAGGTCTTGGCCTGTGCATCACAGGAGGTCAGACAAGATAATCACAATGGTCCCTTCTGACTTTGGAATCCATAAATCACTGGCTCTTAGTGGCAGTCAAACTAGGCCTAGGGAAGCCATAACAATGTCATGGTAAATGTGACTCGTGGGCTAAGTAATTCGGTGGAGAGGTAAGTTTGGCAGCAGTGACTGTTAATGGCATGATTGAGAGAGACTGGTCCCATCTGGCAGCTCGGAAAGGGGCTGGCAGAAGAGAGAAGATTCCTCAGAGGAGAGGAGGATGGAGTAAATAACACCAGAAATCATTTTAGCCCTAGAGAGAGAAAATGCTGGCGAGAACGCGTCTGAGAAGCAGAACAGGGCTTCAAGTCATGTTGGTGAAGAGACGCAAACTCCCAAACATGCTATCAACAGAGCGTACCGGGACATGACACCTCCTACTGCAAATCCAACGGGGGAGGAAGACGAGGGAGTCCAGGTAGGGACTAGTTATATAGTATAAATATTCAAACTGCTGTGCGGATGCCCAGTGGCCTAAAGTCAGGTGGCTTGGCCCAATGCCCTGGGGTCAGTAAGAAGGAAGGCTGGATATTGGATCAGGTCCCCTGTTGTGCACTTGCTTATACACATAGGGAGTACACTGATGTTCATGTTTTCTCTGTTACAATGTGCACAGGTTAGATCTAACCCCATTGTTGTCTAAACCAGCCAAAAGCCCCAGGCCTCATTACCGCTCTGTCTGGGACAAGTTTCAGCTTTCTTGTAATTCCCCTCCTGTCCCTTGTAAAACTGGTTTCCTGGGAACAGGAACTAAAGGCTCTAGGGAAGGAAAGTTTTAATGTAACTAAAATACTAAAACATCAACAATATAAACAAATTCCCACCTCTCTCCATTCCCCAATGCACAACCCCCAGCTCCCTCCCTGGCACCAGCCTAGGCAGATAAGATACTGAGGATAAACCCTGCAACAAAGGTTGTGGAGCTGTGAAAGTCAGCCAGGTTACACAAACAGAAAGGGTCTCTCTTATGGTGTCTTCATCCCTGTGTGGGGAAGGGTCCCTTCCTGGCTCCCTGGTGTCGGCTGGCTCTGCCACTCCGATCACTGGTCTCTGCAGGACTGGTGCTCCCAGATCACACAATAAATCCCATGATAGTTCAAAATCCCCCTCTGTGTGTGGAGCAGCTGATTAGAGACTCCCCAGGCTGTGCTGCTCCTGTCCCAGCTCCAAACTCAAACAGCCTCAAAGTGAAACCAAAACAATGCCTTTGCCTCTGAGGCAGCTGTCCCCTGCCAATGGGGGACGGAGCTTCCTGGCATCTCACTGGCCCAGCAAATTGTCCGAATGAATTACTCCCTCCAAAACTCCCCATTGGCATTTGTAGGAGTTTCCTGTCTATTCTGTCCCTGGCTGGGACCTTACACAGGCTGGGATATGGGGTCTGGAGGTGGGCTAGAGCCATTGCCGCTGTGGTCCAGAGAGTAGGATCCCTAGAGGCCCAGTTCAGTGTTGCAGGAGCTAGCAAGCTTCAAAGGAGGTTACACGGACATCAATTCACGGTTTATCTCTATCAAGGAAGTTTAAACCACATGAAGAATGTCCACAGTAACGGGCACCAGTTTTACTAACTGATATCAGGTTAACTGGGCTCCACTTAGAAAACAGA